CATGAAGAGCTTCGGATTTGAATCCTCTGATGTTGGGATCGATTCTCCCTAGAAACCCGAGATTGTCGTGTTAGGGCTCTCTTAGGTCTTCATCAAAAATAGTGGCCAGCCTTTCTGGACCTAGAAAACTTTTCCCAGAGAAGTCGGGAATCAAAACCTTGACATCTAAAACGTGGAAGCCCTGCCTGAGCTGAGCTTCATTGGTGCGGGGCCCTGTGTGCATTTTTAAACGGTCTCTCTAGCAGTCCGCTATCAGCATCTCATCTTAGCTATCATAAATTTTTATTAATCAAACAAAAATAACTAGAGAGGAGGAGCTGGTAGTGCAGTGGTATACCATTCTCACAAACAAAGTACTGGCTCGATCTTTCCACCACTCCAGATTGAGAAACTGATACCAGATCATTTTCTCGAACACATGGACGACGATCAAGCAGGGCTATCTCAGAAAGAATCAACTCGATCACTGTTCAACGAAATTCATAGAGAAAACAAAGTCTTCAAGTGGCAACCAAGCCCACAAGGAAAGCAGAATATCCCATGGATAATGTAATCAAGACGTCGAGTCGAACAAAAGTGTTGGGATATGCAGAATACGTGCAGTCAGGTCATGTTAATAAAATAAATAAAAATCGTTACTAAGAGAGGAAAACATTAATAATTCAGAACAATTCATAATGATAAGTAGTAGAAATCAATAACAATTATAATAACAGTGAAAATTTTATGACTAATAAACTTGCTATACACTTAGCATTTAAGTACTATTTCCACCAGAGTAACCAATACAGTTAACTTCCCTAAATTTCAAATTTCTACTGACCGCTTTTCGTTTTCGCATCAAAACATTGTACTGATGAAGGCCGCTGTAGACCATTTCTCCGACTGATCCCCGTTGTCGAATGATTCGATCGAGCCGGATTAGGACTGCACTTCAGCACAAGAAAACTAAAAACCTCTCCTTATTAGAATCATGGACTTCAAATGTTCTACTTAACGTACCCCTCAGTCACCATCATATTTATTGTGGCATTACCCTTCCGGTGTTTTACGCTCAGCTTACAGTCGTTCCACCTGCTCACCGCTGCCATTGGGCCGTGACCATAAGCAGCGGCCGGTGGAGTGGGTGGTCTCCAGTCCTCAGGCTAAAACGGAGTGTAATAGTACTAGGAAACGACGACTCAGATTTACGTCAACATGGCTACTATATTCGCGATGGTGCAGGTTTTTTCTTTGAAAATTCCATAATTTTAGGACAACTACAACACATTGAAACGAAATGCTAGATTTGTGAAAGACTCTTTGCTTCATCACTCCAAGGATACATTAACTATTTTCCCAAATGTGTTATTTTCACCCTGAATTTAGTCAATATACTTCGAGCAAAACTTTTACATGTTTTTTGTAAAATAACGAACTCTTGTGTGCGATAAAAGAAACTCGTTCATTAATCAATCACGTTTCCCTTCGCTTTCTCTTCGCAATAATTATCGAGGATGTTTTAAATTTTATTTACTATTTATTTCATGGCAGGGTAAGAAAGGACAAAGGGTAAACGCCTTGGCGTTAATCAATCCTAAGGGTTGCGCCATGCATTCGACTTCATCGAGCATTAGAGATGACTGAATACATATCAGGCCTATACAATGACTCTCGATGACCTACTGATGTATCAACTCAGTGCTGCTATTCTCCGAGATAGGTCTGGTACAAATTTGTTGACCGAGAAGTGATTGAAAGATTGGTGAGTCTGGAACGCAGATCGAACCTATGTTTGCTGCAGGTCATCTCTAACCACTGTGCTTATACGTACCCGTCTACTGCAGCGTATGAAGTGAAATACAACCACAAGGATGCTAAAATATGACCAAAAAAGTTATAGTTAAAACACTGCTACTCCAAATTCCGCTTCGGCCCAACTGGGTCCAATGCCTATTTGTGGCCCTCAGTATATAATTAGTATACTATTGTCTTGTTAGCCGATAAATTGTTTAAGAGAAAGGTACGTAGAGGAAGAACAAGTAAATACCTCCCGAGGTAGGATAAATGAAACAACAGAGTAGGATTGGCATAATGGCGCTAAAATGGATGAACAGTAGTGGTAGCATTGCGTTCTTCTTCTCAATGGTTTACCATCTCGATGATTGTCAGTATGCAAAAAAAACAAACTGTAGGCAAGCTGGTATTTTGTCACCACTATTAATCTCTTGAAGCGGGATTTCAACACGAACAAACTCGTTCGGAAGTTTTTTGTTCACTATTGATTGCAATGTGTGGCTGTCTCACAACGACAAGTGGCTAAAGTTAAGAAAAAAAGGGTGCCGAAACTAAAACCACCAGAAACAATATGCGTCATATGTGATTCGTACAGTCATTGTGCTACTTACTAAAATCCATTGAGATAACTTTACTAAAAATGAATGGACAAAACCATATATGACTCAAATTGCTGCAAATATACTAAAAAGAGACATCATTCTCATAACTGTTAAAAAACCTACCTCATCAAGATCTTTTGTAGGTGTTTCCATTTCAGCGAGAAAGTCATACACTGGCACCGAACGAAGATCGATTGATATTTGATCGAATAAACAAGGTTCTACTGTTGTCTTCCATGCCTAGAAACATTACAGTATGACCTCATAATGGGACAAAGATTTGTCGGCAAATTACTTGAACAAAGACGGCAAGTCCTCGTGCAGTCATCGTACGACAACCCAAAAGTCGCATCCGTAATTTACGCCGGTGCTGTACTGGTAACGCCAACCAATTCAACAGCAGGCGATGAGATACACAAATAGCAGGAGAAAATTGCTGAAAGGATGAATTCGATAGTGGGACATAAGCGAGACATAAATAAGCTCTGAAACTAACAGGTTGCTTCACATTCAATTCATCAATCCCACTGATATCGAGAACCTTGTGCAGAGGGATCAGATGATGAGCCTGGATTCCATCGAAGGTCACGCGACGCATTGACGGTTTTAATCTAGGAGAAAAATGTACGTTGGAAAGTAACGAAAAAATCCGCAAGCTGTCACCAAATTTATGTATACAATGTTATATTAATTCCTTCGACTTCATAAGCCAATCGAACCTTAGCAGTATTACTCATAAATTTTGTAAAAAAAAAAATCCCACACATTTCGCACAAACACAAATCCTCCAAGTGATATAAGAGCGTCTTAAAAAATTAAGGACAGTTTGCGTCAAGTTATAAAAAATGAAACTTGCCAACATATAAGTGTTATAAAAATGCTACAAAAAAAAGTACACCCACACTCTAACAATTACAAAACACTCTAAAAGAACTCACAAGTTATGCGAATATGAAAAGATCGAATTAAGAAAGGTATGTGTACTGAACAAATTCTCTCTATCTACAAAAAACACCCCACTTCCTTCCAAAAGTAACCACGTCTTCTTACTTTAGAAGTGATGTCAAAGGCAGCAGTAAAATTTACACCTTCAACAATTCACCCAAAATTCTCAACATATCTACAAACGAACGCCCGTCGATGTTCGAAATACGAACCTCGACAAAAGAAAAAGCGAAAAAATTACGTGTTCCCAAATATCATGATTCCATCCTGGTAGAACAACAACATTTTTTGTATCACACTGGCAAATCTATAACTCTAATAAATCAAACAATAAGGGATGCTATGAGATGACTGTATTTGAGTTCTATAGCGACTTGGTGAAATTCCACAGAGAACACCGTACATTCCTCAAGGTCATCATTGGAGATTTTAACGTTAAGATTGGACACGGAAGGACGTCACATTTGGATACCCCGAATTGGAATGGAACGAGCAGGGCCATCAGCTGAGTTAACCATAAGGATCAAGAGAATTCATGGTACCTCCTAATTCCAGAAACCTCATCCCAACGCTGCAAGTGGAAGTCTCCCAATAGTGCGTACCATAACGAAATAGACCACATCATAGTTAGTATAAGGTTTTGCTTAAGCAATGTCGCTGTTGTCCCCAACATTCTACACGGGCTCACACCATCGCCTCCTCCGTTTCACGAGTGCAAGATTCTATTTCACGTGGAAAGGAGAAGAAAGCGTCAAATTCAAAAAACGAAGTCCCAAAACCACCACTAACAAGATATTGGGACAGGGGATTGATTTACATGTCGGTTGCTAGGAACACGCCATTGTCGATAACATCGACAAGGAATACGATCGGCTAATTCGACATCTTCACGTTAGCGTTATGAAAGCTGAGAATTCAAAAGTAATGAAGAGACGTCTGAATCCAGAAACACTAGAGCCGATACACCGGTGTGGAATCGGGCGAGCTGCAGGTAACCGTCAACTCACGTCTGAACTTAGAAGAGCATGAAGATATGCGATAAACGAAGATCTTAAACAGAGATGAGTAGCAGTTATGGTCGAAGCTACAGAGGTGGGCAAAAGCATTTGGAACGCCCAACGAAGTTTCGCTAATTGCAAAAACAAGACAACTGCACTCCGACGCCCAGACAGAATACTTACATCGTTCAGAAAGGCAATGGAGAAAAGAGCTCACGCCTACCACTCGGATCTCTTCAATAGCCGCGTCCTCCTATTCCATAAGAAACAAAGGAGGATGGATATATAGTCCCACCGATTCTCCCTTCCGAAAACCGGCATGCAATTTCGTCGGTGAAAAATCGAACAGCACCGGGCCCTGACATAGCATCTGAACCTTCATAACCTTCCGCTAGACTTCATAAGCACGCTGGCTAAAATCTTTTCACGTTACCTTTTAGAATATAAGGTTCCTAATAGTTCTTACGTTTATCTAGGTCTGGAAACAAACATGATGAACAACTTAATTTCGGAGTTGAGCAGGAGAAAATACAATTCAAGAAGGGAGGCCCGTATGATATCGGCAATTATCCCCCAATCTGCTTGCTGTCTGCCGTCTACAAAACCTTTCACTCGAGTCAACCTAAACAGGAATGACAGCACACCGGACGACGAATAACCACGTGAGCAAGCAGGGTTTCGAGAAGCATTCGGTGCGATGGACCAGAACCACACGATAATAAAACTCACTGAAGTGTCGCAAGACTACAACAGACCGCACTGTCTCATTTTCACCACTTTAAAGAAAACTTTTGACTCAGCTGAGATAGAACCACCAATGGAAGCCCTGGAGAGCCAGAGAGTCGCTACTCAGCATATAATGACTTTCGTGAGCTGTATAAAAATTTCACAACCAAGAAGAGCGATTAAGGAAGGTGATACCACTTCGCCAAAATTATTTTCCGCGACCGTCGAGAACGTGAGAGTGAAAACGATCGTTAGCAATTCCACCACCACCGTCGATTTGCTGATGACATTGTTCTTCTAACATCAGCATTAGCTAGCTAGAACTAATGCTTGCCGACATTAACAACGCTTGTGCAAAGACTGGTCTTCCACTAAATTTCACAAAAGCGATGTTCAAGAGGAACCGATTAGTTATGTATGTCCCACCCACACTCAACCGAATGCGTATCTCCGAATGCTCCAGTTACGTCTATGTAGGTAGGGAAACAAACATGATAAACGACTTAACTTCAGAGTTGGGCAGAAGAAAATGAGCGGTTTGGAGGGCTTTCAAGAGCATAAAGGATGTACTGAAGAAAACAAAGAATACCTGATTCTGTGTCCACTTCTTCGACATCATGATTCTCCCTATCTTAACGTTTGCGTCAGAAACCAGGTAGCTGCATAAGCTGGATGAAAATCACTCAACGTTATTGAACGCGCGGTAGAAAGCCTTTGCTAGGAGTTTCCCTTTTCACACAAGTGAGGGAAAGGACCCGCAACTCCGACAACGAAAACTCAAAGACTCCGTTTTATACGCTAAACTGTCTAGGAAACCGTGAATCGGACGCTTGACAACCTACGAACAACGTTATTGACTGGAATCCCAAGAATGTCAAACGCAGAACAGGAGGACCACCAACCCGATGGTCGGAGTTCTTCACGAAAGCCCTAAAAGAAAGATATGGTGCTCAACGAGCTCTAACACCAAGTAGACCCACTGGGGTACTCTTGCACTCGATAGGCAAAAATGGAAGATGTACTAGCGCTAAACGGTGAACGGGACAACAGGTGACACTGGTAAGGAAACTTTCCATAGTTCCAAAAAGTAAAACAAGGATTGAGTTCTATAAAATAGCGCACTTTGTATCTCTTGTGAACTCTCTTTATTTTAGGGGTGTGGCATTCATTTCATTATAAATAACATATGAAAAGAAAATAACAAATGAAAAAGAAAACAAACTTACAATTTGAGAAACCATATAAGTAGTAGAGTAGGACGGCAAGAATAGAGTGAGTGATCCCGAAAAACAATGTGAAGCGGATTGATAACTTTCAGTGCTTGAGCAAGACGCTCCAGTCGACCAGCCGATAAGTTCGCGAGCTCTGTTATTGTCTTAAACAAGAGACACAGTGAATGAAAAACATTATAAGTTAAACTGTTGATGTTCAAGAATACTTCATCATCCATAGCAGTCAGTGGTGGAGTGTGATTCATCAAAGCACGTGCTGATGGTAATTGATAATAGGCGTAACCTCGCTGCTCTGACTTAACACCTCCAGGACAGACTGTGTCAACTGGAGGTGACTTCCCGGACACACCACCGGACCATGGCGGTGTAAGCTAAAATGAAAACTATGACCTAACTCTTCATAAGCACGTTCACTGGTTAAACTAAATGAATACAGATTTATACATATATGAAATAAAACCAGCCTCCATTAAAAACTGAAATGTGACAGCAAAATCCCAAACTGTTGGTGTTTTGCTTAAGAGATTAACAACACAATAAAATCACTAGCCAAGGTTGTGTTCAGAGAGTTTCCATGGAGGCTACCGTCTGGATTTCCGTTCGTCCCAAAAAACTCCATGCGTGTATGTTCTCGATCAAGGAATGAGCAGAAGTTCTGCAGACACACCTATAATCGAAAAATTAACAATATGTAAAAAGAGAGTAGTGAAAGCACTACCTACCTCTACGACATGGTGTTTTTCCGCCCAGGTGGTGAAATCGAATGTGAAGGCCCAAGACGATTGTGTCTGATCAACAAACTGATCTTCCATAAACAACGTAGTTGTTTCCAGAGGGATCGAGAGTATGTCAGAGGTCTGAAAAGGGAAAGGAAAGCAGTTTGTAAACGAGAAAATTTAGCAGGTCTGCCGAAAATTCTGTACAATTACTGTAATGTCTGTTTTTTCCACTCTAGAAAGAAAATTAGAGAAGACAATGACAGCGACAGTTATTGGTTAATTTCTAGACTTGTAATCATGAAGACTATTACAGCTAGCCTCTTTGACGTATAGCAACTATTGGTGACACAAATGGCAAACACGCGTTATTATGAAAAGCTATCAAGAAGTTGAGAAAAGAGGGCTACTAAGTTGGAAAAAAGAAGAAGACCATGAATACTAACCTCACTTCAATGATGCTGAGATATTATACCTTTTCATTTTCTGCCTACTATAATTTCGCGGCAGGGTACTAAGCGAAATAAAACCACAACGTTGCTGAGATATTTGCAAAACTCTGGACCGCAGGTGTCTACGGCTATTGTCCTTTCCGGGGAGTAACGCGTTCACCACCACACCATGCGGGTCCTTTGTTTCGCCTGTCTCTCAGCTATTCCTATCGATCTTTGCCACAGAAATCACCCAATCTTTCTACTTTCTGCCTACTATAAAAAGGTATAACATTGTGATTTCAACTACAGCCGCAGCTTAACTGGGTTCTATGTCGATTAGGGCGCCCCAGATCAATCCCGCTGACGGGTGATGCTGAGATATTTGCAAAACTCCGGACCGCAGGTGTATGCGGTGGGGGACGAATGCGCTATTGTCCTTTCCGGGAGTGTGGTGATGAACGCGCTACTCCCCGGAAAGGACAATAGCGAATTCGTTCCCCACCGCATACACCTGCGGTCCGGAGTTTTGCAAATATCTCAGCATCATTGAAGTTATATTTCACAACGTATACCTTGCCGTTAAAAAAAGTAGGCAGTAAATAATAAGTTAAAGTTACGATTATAACTAACCTCACTGTTATGAGAACTCTTAACAAGCACGGAAGGAAGACTTGATACTACTACATGAGAACGCTCACTACGTGTAGCTGTCATTTTAGGTGGCTCAGAACCAACAAGAATTCTCTCAAGTATTGCCCTGAAGATGTATCCCAATGACATGACCAATAATGATGAAAAGTTAAAACAAAAAATCGAAAAAACTAACCTCCTTCTATCCACAATGAAAATGCCAACGATATGTTGCGCCCTGTGAAAACGAGAATTAGGTTTTCTCTCCTCGGATAAAATTAATGCACGCCATCGACGACATACGTTAGAGCATCGTAATACCGTCACGTCATCACACCTACAATAGAAGCGCTACAGGAAAACTATTCAGTATGGAGTCATTTCAGAATATACAATCCATTTAGTTTCACAAAAACATATTCTCACTAACTATATCACGTTCCAAGATTTCTCGAGATGTCAAACGTACCTCTTATCAATCTATTTCTTTTAAGACTCTCTTCAAATATCAGCACACTTGAGACTTCCACTAAGGTTATATTCATTTATAATAACCATGGTGCATAAAGTTAGGATTTGACTTAGTAGAAATAAAGGAACATAATGACATAGATATGTAAGAATGCAATTTGAACCATGTAGAACCAGTATGTAAAAACTCAGACTTTAAGTGACTATAAATAAAAGAAAATATTTAAATAGAAATTTTACAATACATCGCGATGTCTTAACATTCGCTTGCTATGGTTTGAATTGCCCGTCTAGCAGAGACAAAACAGTAACAAATGAACCAGTTCAGATAGGTATGATGGCCAACTGAGCACATAAACTCGGGAACATTAACACTTAGGGTCTGATGTGTCAATTTCCACTCTGTGGATAATAACGGTTGCTTTAATACAATTCTGTGAAAGCTGTAGTAGGCAGAAAATAAAAAAGCATAACATTGTGATTTCAACTACGGGCTCAGCTTAACTGAATCCAATTCCGATGTGGGCCCCCCAGGTCAATCCCGTTGACGGGTAATTGCTGATGGCACTGATCGATAGAACTAGCTGAGAGACAGGTGAAACGAAGGACCGGCATTGTGTGGTGGTGAACGAACTAGTCCCCGGGAAAGGCTAATAGCTCGTTCGTTCCCCACCGCAGACACCTGGGGTCCGGAGTTTTGCAAACATCTCAGTAACGTTGTGGTTGTAATCACGGTTTAACCCAAGATATCCCTGTTCGAAGTAAACGTTACTAACTGAAACAGAAACCGTTAGAATCTACAGACCTTTACTAATAACATACACGGTTTACTAGTCTAGCAATGCGAGAACCTGACCTTACGGAGTCCAAAAAATGTATTTTTTGTCAATCGTGATATTTTGAAAGTTCAAGCAGCTGAACAATAGAAAAAGATTATTTCGTCCATTAGAATACGACGATGCCTCAACTACTTTGCCGATGTTTACAGCAGCAAGGGTTTCTTGCTACAAAAAAAAATTAAACACCACTATAATTCCTTTTGGTTTTGATTATAAACTAGTTAAAGATCGAATAACAGATTTAGAGGGCGATAGTACTTTTACTTAAAGACACTTCTATAAGCTGATCACCTTTCTTACACCTCAAGTAATCTCGGCATCGTGAATAATTAGCAGTCGGCGAAAAACCAGCTTAGAACCCTGAATGTTAACATAAGCCCTTGGCCTTTCGGTGACTGACCATAACTTATAAAATCATTGGAATAGCTCAAGAGCTCGAACTTTACAGACCTATGTAAAACACTGAGACACTCATCCCAACGGTTTATCGCCTCATCGTGGCTGGGAGGTGTTCCTGGATGTTGCGCTGCGATGTAAGGCGGTGAGATTCATCCCTCAGAAGGGCCTCCCATGCTGAGCAGAAATCTGGCGTTTCCACCAGAAGGCCCAGCTAACAGCAAACTAATACCAAGATCCACCAAAATCCTAGTATCAAACTAGTCGCGTGGTAGCAATTCTCTCTCCGATCCACAAGAGCAGTGACTGCCTGTAGTGGTGACGACCTGGGGCAGGCCTTAGTAGGCCTGATCTTAGGGGTGGGTCCAGGAAACTACTATGGCTAAATCAATAAAACTCTGAAGAAAAGAGAGAAATAAAGCTGGGATCCACACAACCAGTGAAGAAGAGCCATCCAAGTAATCAAGTAAATACATAACACTGTACGCTTCTATCGTATTAATCACATATATAACGCCATAACGTAATTCAGAAAAAACCACTTACCGTTGAAAAACGGCTATCAGAGCCTCGTCAGAAACACTGGTAACGGTAGTAGCTTTAGGAGTCCGTAAAGCACGAAGATTAAGAAAACTCATCGTCAGTTAATGTCGCAAACGCTCCACATGAAAACCGTCTAAAAATTGCAATTTCTTTTAGAAACAAACTGCATGTTTACCACAGAAAGCGTCGTCTTAATGTGTAAGTCACAGCTATCAAAAAGAAAACGACAAGCAGGAAAGAAATAAAGTCGATCAAAAAAGTAAAACCACCACTATTCAATAGACAAAGCGGGAGTTCAACAAAAAGCGCTGCCAAGTCTTGTAGAAAAACTTGGACCTTCTCAGAGAGTGCGCGAAAGTAAGAAAGAGTGAAAGGCTCTGGATATCTTATAATACCTGAAGCGAGGAACGCTACTTCTAAATCATCTATCTATTCCTAAAAAGACAAATAATGTATTTGTCAGTAACACACGATCTCTTGAACTCTGAAGTTATCACTTAACAATAAAAAGAACGAAAGCCTATAGAATGACGTATTACTGAGGGCACCTCAAAGAAAAATCAGGCAAAAGAATGATAACTACATTGATCTCATTTGCAAAATAAAATTTAAAAAACAGGTTAGAAGAAAGGCAAATCCAGGACCTCAGTGGTACAGTGGATAAGATATGAGCCCCCGGAAAGGATAATCGCGGTTTCGAACCTGGCCTGAGGGCCAGGTTTTGCGAGTATCTTAGCATCAATGACGTTGTATTTCATACAGCACCCTCCTGCTAAACAATAAGAGGCGGTAAATAAAAAATGTTAGGCACAAGATAAAAGGAGAGTAGAAAGATAGATAATTCTAAGGCGTAAATAGGTATAAACAAATCCGTAATTGTTAAATTTTTGTGATACACTTGTAACAGCACGGCCCTGAGGAAGGCGAAATCGCAGAACAACAAGCAACAACAACGACAACAATAACAACAACGACGACGACAAGGACACCAACAATAATAACGACGACAACGACAACTATACCAACCTCGCATCAGCTCAACAAGATCAGTTGGTAAGAACGTATAAATAAATAGATCCACCATTTATGGCGAGGTTTATAGGAAGTCGGCCTTCTGAGCTGTCATGGCGCACTCTAGTGAGCCTCATAAACAAACATCAGACCACGGAAACCTCAGAAATCCAATCTCGAACAACGCACATCGTAAAGGATTAACTCAACTCGGTGTCACTTGTTACATACCAGTAAATTCATATGATAATAGTACTAAAATGTGAGGAACATAAAACAAATTAAAGGGAAATTTACAAAATTTTACGCTTTTACGAAAACATATGTGCTAAATCACCCGAACTCCACGATGACGCACACAGAAGTCTTCCGCTAATCACTACAACGTATAACGAAGAATACGCCTGAAAATCTCATTTGATCTGCAAAAACAAAGCTGCTTTTCCGGAAGAGCGGGAAGTAACGGGGTTTGAGGTCGGCGTGGAGGCGGTCAACGACAATGTGGCGGACGAGCGGCAAGCGGTCAGGCGGGGTCCGAGGTGTGCGGGCCGCAATCGCAGCCGCATCGCGCGAGACGATGAGCGGGTAACTCGTCCACTCAGTCGCTCAGCCAGCCACTGCGGACAGTTCGTACCTGTCGGGGCGAAATCCGTTCAGATCGTGATCTCTGTGTCCTAGTCCTGAATTCGGAAATAATTCCTCGTTACTCTTGAAATTTCACCGGAACCGACTCTAGTCACTTAGAATCGTGAGTGATCATGATCACTCGACG